GCAGACAGACAGAACCTCTATCTGCAGTAGTGACTTGAAGACAGACAGGTCGAAGGGGAGACTGCTCTCCTGGATGTTACTGGATCCTACTGGACCTCTGGTACCAGACACCTGACCAGCAGAGAAAAACCAGTGAGAACACTCATCACGTCTCCTCCTGAAGGAAAAGTTAGGATACAAAGTTGCTCGGTACGACAGGATTTGAGTTTTGTAAAGAGGTGTGAGACCTTGAGGTATCGCAGCCTGCAGGTGAAGTCCAGGATGTGTCCCAGGTCGGTCTTGGCGTCTCCGCTGCAGCAGGTTGGTTTTGCCAGACGCAGCTGCTGGGAGACGGAGTAAAGCTGCAAAGGATAGAGAGAAAAGACCTCGCCGGCCTGCAGCAACTGCTCCCCTACAACACAACAAACAATGGGTCTGATACTGCGCGATGTACAGGATTATATCTGTTGTTTCATGTTATATTTGGTCGCATAAACACAGACTGCAGGTGATCAACGAGAGTCGCATGCACCATTCTCTTGTGCTAGTTCATTTCTGTTTCATCGAGCACAATATTGACTTGTTTTGTCTCTTTCATATTGCATGTTGTACTGTTGGGGGAGACTGGGGGTGTTTCTCAATCTCGAGTAAAGCTGCTCCAGAGCCACTACTTCAAGCATACTACATCATCGAGTGCCGCCGAAGGACTGTTCCAATCTCCAGCATACTTGGAATTCTACCAAGCCCGGTGTACTTCGTTTGGAAAAATTTCGAGGCTGCACATGTGTAGACTCCGTGGTCTTAAAATCCCCACAATGCTTTGCGAACCTTTTCCGAGGCTAGGAAGTATTCTTGCCTCGCTTCTGAAGCAAGACGCTCGGAAGACATGTGCTACCAAGCAAGCGTACTCAAGATTGAGAAACACCCTGGGATTTAAATGTGCATATGACAATAAGCCATTTAAATCTCAAATATTTTTTCAGTAAAATTGATATATTTAGCTGCATAACCAATTTAAATATGTTGGACTTCTATTCAACACAAAAGGAAAAGAAAACAATGCTAACCAATATTGAGAAACGTATTAAGAATGGTTGTTTCACATCAGGTCATTGTGCAAGAATCTACTCAGTATTAATGACATGTACTGACTGTGGATTAAAACTATGCATTTAACTAAAACATTCTAATTAGTTTGCATTGTCCCTGAGAAATAAAGAACTGTAAGAGATGTAATGTCATTGTAAGTATTTTTTCATCTTACTGTACATTATCAGTAAAACTGATAAGTATAGAAATAACGACAGGGAGAAAGCTTTTGCAGCTACATGAACTGGAAGCACACTCAAGGAGTTCATTGTTAACACAGTCTTAGAAACACTAGATGAAGATAGAGGGCAAAGGTCAAAGGAAGCTAACCTTTGTTGAACAACTCCTCAGCCAGAGCTGCTGTGATCCCGTTGATCTCCTGAAAGAGACAAAGAGATTGTTGAAAAACTGAATTCACTTCAAAACAACAAACAAGGTTGATTTCTTCACTACTCAACAGATAACATTAGCTAGACGTACAGAAGTTTCAACGTTCTATTGTTGCCTATTCTTATCATTTGTTAAACACACTGCTTCGTCTATTCAAGATGAACAAATCAAAACAGGAAAGGCCTGATGATTGCTTCAGAACATGAACATCATGCTGTCAATTCGTTTCATTGCATTACGTTACACAATAGAAGTTTGCATCATTAATGCAGCTGAATAATAAACAACAATAAAGTTTGCCAACTGACACTCAGCAGTTAATCATCTCGCATCACATGAGTGTTTTTAAATCAGCCTTCACTCTGCAGACAATACTGCTCTGTTGTTGTATGAACATCATCAAATAATCAATGGTCACGACGAGCACTACAAAGACTTTAACCTGTTAAGCCCTGAGCCTGTTTTTCAGCTTTCAGGCTCGAAAATGACATGCACAGAACAAATTACTAACTTCCCTTCTAAAAAGTTAAATTAAAATATTTTTTCTCAAAGCAAGGTTACACCTGTGAGTTGGATGTAGAAAAGTCAGAATCAATATAGATGTTTTATTTTAAAGTAAATTCAGATTGAAAAATGAAAAACCCTAACCCTAACCCTAAAAAAAAAAAAAGATTATAGTGTCCGTCCAAAAACAAAAATGACCCTTGAATGATGGGATAGTAGACTAAAAGCTTTAGGAATCCAAACTATAACATATAATAAGTACCCTGCATCAAGATTGATGCAAAACAAGTGACCTTTGACCTTTTTAGAGAGATTTAGCAAAAAAAAACCTTCTGGGGTCATTTGGGTGCATTTTCCATATCTCTGGCCCCCCTCGTTCGATTTTGATGATTGACACCTCTTTTTAACCGTTAGAGCCAATAGAATCGGGGGGAAGTTCCTAAAATCAATCTAAACATTACCCATTGGTGAATGAGTGATGCGCAGCCAGAATGCCCCTGAACCGGAAGCTGCGATACACTCTGATGGCTATCATTAGCAGCTAATATGAAACCTCTGTTTTTGACATAAAAATGGAATGATGGATTATCAGGAATCATTTCAAAGTAAAAGACACATTGAATTAACCATTGGATTAACCTTCAGCCGCGTTTTTATCGTTTTAATGCCATTGAACACGACTTTTGATCAGAATAACAGCTACGGTGAGACGATCTCCCGTGAATGCTCCGTAAAGCTACGTGTTGTGATGTCTGTGTTTGCTTCCCCTGTCGCGAGTTCTGATCGCTCAGTGATGATACTAATACCTATATAATCTCAGCTTTAATCTGATATATTGTATGTGCAGTTACGATAAATAATACGAGTATTTTTACCTTGAGTTCTGTGCTAAGTGCGTTAGCATTTTTTCGCTCAGGGCTCATTTACACGCTTCTTGTGAGACTTGTGTTTTATTTAGGCAAAAATTGTTAATATCTTTAGTTAGCTGAGTTTCTAACCGTTAAATGAGTATGACACATTAATAGGTTTTTAAATATTAAGAAGCCCTGAGACACAGTTTCGTGAAAAAACTACCCGCCGGACCTGGATTAGGGTCCTCTCGGGTTTAACAGGCTAACTGTTACACCAGCCTGCAGCAGCGCCTCTCGGACTGGGAAAGGATCACCATTTACAGAAAAATGACTGTTCTCCCACTACCTTTTATCTTATGACACACCTAACAGTTTCTGCCCATCAGCAACTTTTGATACAACTGAGGCAATTTAAATGTTTAAACAATTTAACCGCTTTAAGTGTAGTTAACACAGCGTTTTGCAAAATAGACCCACCAGACAAGACTCATCTAGTCTTAATTAATCTTTCAGTATATGTTTCAATTACTAAACACTGCAACATGCTCTGCTTATACTTACAAAACAGAGTAAAGCAGTTGCAATTTTTTCTTTTAAGAAATGTTTAGGAACATAGGTGCCTTTGGTTATGTGATGGAGACAGATGGGATGACACGTGGCAAATGGTCCTGGGCGATATTCAAACTTGTGTCCTCTCCACAGGGACAGAACCCCAATATAGCTATACGGAGCCCAAGCAGTTGCATTTTTTTGGGCACATTTTAATTTTTCTTTCTTTGGTGACAGCATTCACAAAAGTTTTAGTAATCTTTATTCAATAGCAGATATAAAAGTGTATTTATTTAATTCAACAATTACTTTTATGATGGAAAGTCCTGTGGCACAACTAGCGAAAAAACTGATATATGGGAGTCTGATTGGCCAGTTTCGAATGCTCCATCTTCATTATAACATCCTGTACAATTATGGAAAAACAAAAATAGATTTGGAGATTGACAAGAAGTGTATTGTTGTATTTAATTAATACTGTTGCTTCAATAGTTAGGAGTCCGTAAATAAACGCTTTCTCAGTTCAGTGGGAGAACATCACTTGCCCTCAGACCCATCCAATAGATTTGAGATGAACTGGGAACATGTTTAGGCTTAAACAGGTTACTGTGCATATGTGGTAGGAGCCTCGAGTGTACTCACGTAAAGGTGAAAGTGCAGGAAGCAGGCGAGTGGAGACGGTGTGGCCTCTGGGAACTGCTGCAGCAGCGTCTGCAGGTAAAGCTCCAGCTCCTTCTGCCGCCGCTCCACCAGACTCTTTGAGTTCTTCCCCAACATCTTCTTTGGGGGAAGCAGCCGTCGGTCCACCTTCTTCTCTGCCGTCAGCTGCAGGGAAACCCATCAGGATGAGAAAAAAACACTAAAAGCTGTCCAAGTGTACTGTAGCTTCTCTAATATGAGGATTGGCTGCTTCTCTCTTTTTTTATAAATAAATGTAAACAAAATATATTTTAAGATGTCCCCTCTGTGACCTTTTAGACGTTTTTGTTGTTTAAATAATTAATTAATTATCCATATAAGACATATTGATGTTTTTCCTGTTTGAAGCTCGTTCTTTGTGTTCTATTGTAGGTTTGTGCCTTCAGTAATTTAATGAAAGGCCAATTCTTACTTTAGAACATTAAGATCAGCAGATAGCTAATTGATAAACATTAAGTCAACCTTCATTCCAGCATTGACAACATGCATTATGGTTATTAATGATTAATGTGATGGCACTATGTCTGTGGCGGGTATACTATCCTCTTATCAATCAGAAGTGTAAATTATTAATCCCTGTTCCGATAATGGACTTTCAGGCAATAAATGCTTCTGATAATGTAGAGCCATTCCTTACATCAGCTGTGGGGACTCCTTACTTATAAGTACAACTACAACAATTCAATAAATATGATGTCACACAGGTGAGCCCATGGATTGATATCAGCTGTATTGAGGCTTGTTAGCAAATGATAAAAGATATAGAAGGAGTCTTTTTGTAATTACAAATGTTCGCAAAAGTTGTACAGGCAGAAAATACTAAAAACTCTGTCTTTATTGCTCTCCTCATATTTTATCGTAACATACATATAATAATTATAGAACCTACATCCCATATAGTGCCTCTACTATTTATTTATGTTTTCTCTATAATTCAAATAGATTTTTTTTTTGATTGAGATTGATCTGGGCTGCTGTGGTCTCTTACCTTCTCGTGGAGGTCGTGAAAGTCACTGTAGCGATGTTTTACAGTCCATCTGTGCTCTCCATCCGACACCTCGATGATATAGACCTGAAACAGCACAGCATGACATTCAGTGATTAAAACCTGCCGGATTCAAAAACTGCTTCCTGTACAGCATGGATGCTCATACCACCATTGAACCATCTCCTCGTATGCAACCAACTGCTTTTAGGTCAATAGTGGACCTTCAACTTCACCACATAATTCAAGTTTTAAGGGCTGTAATGTGCGGTCATGTGAACAACATCAGAAAGAAGCCATTTTTGTCAATGATATATTAAATTGTTCAATGGACTTCACTGTACTTAAGAACAACCTTTATGTTATTATTGATTGCAAAAGCTTTACTGGATAAATTACCAGAATATAAACATATATATGTTGGCTATATTTAAAAACAAAACAAATAACCTCTTGTTCCCAATCACCTGAACAAAACTCGGCTAATATGCCTTTTTATTTTCACTTTCGGGTGAGCATGATTTATAAATACTTTGAAATCAGTATTTAAAAGAACAATGTTGTTGTTTTTGACAAGGTCCATTTTCCTTGAATCGTCTAGACTCTTATTCCTGTATGTCTTGTGTATATTGTCTGAAACATTAAAAACCGCTGCAACACTGACAGCTAGTTCAGTTAGCACGGCAGCTAGCACTTAGCTTGTCAGATCTGTCGTTCTATTGAGTAAAGCCTCAGGAGGAAAATGACATATTGACTGATGGAAAACAAGCATTGTAACTGAACACCGTATATATTCACAGATAGGTTATATTCTTCCACAGTAACTCACTGTCACGATAATTGAGCTGAAGCTTAGGCTAGCTACATACTACACATGCTATGAGGTGCTAGGCTAGAGGAAAGCCCGGGTGTAGCTTACAGTGTAGTTTTCCACCGGCTCCGACCCGACAACACACACTTTCCTCTCCAAAACATCCTCTGGAAACGAAGCAGACTCCATCTTGAGATCACGACGAAGCAAATGTTATCTTTAATTAAGAAATACAACTTTCATTTAAAACGGCTCTGGAGGATACCCAGCTTTTCTTCTCAGTTAGCCGCCTCCTGACGCCATGTTTGTTGTGTTGCTGAAGCAGCTGACAGCTTTCTTCTTCTTTCTCGTCTTCTTCTTGTTTTACAGAGGTTCGCATACAGTTTAGTGGCGCATTACCACCACCCTCTGTTAAGAGAAAGAACATATCCACACACTTACACACACCATAACTTATAATTATTGTATAGGCCATTGGGAATACCGGGAGTTTTTCCGGTGGGCCGGGTACCGAAGAGGGCCGGTCGGACAATTCCGCCCCCCCCACTAATTACTTTTGACCAAATACTTTCATATTGATGTAGATTATTAATTAATAGTGTGTGCCGTGTGGTGTGGTTGACTATAAGGGCTTTCTTAAAACATTTTTGATGAATAATCATCTGAAAAAATGACCAAAAAAATCAACAATAGGCTCAAGAGTTTTCACTTCTTATTTCACACATTTTACAAAAGAATTGAGAATTAACTCAGCAGATTAATCAATAATAAAAAAAAGAATTTGTTCAAATGGTTAACAAATAAGCTCCACCTCAACAAACAAAAATACTGCTTTCATATTAACGCACAATAAATAATAATTAAATTATATAATATATAACACTGTCTGTGTTATTATTATTGTGTTATTAACACAATAAAAGGAGTCATTTGAGCAAATGTTCTTGATTAAACTTCAAACTGTTCTATGTAATACACATCACAGCCATACGGGATCGCTAGTGCAGCTGCAATCATATAGGTGTGTTATGTCACATTTTGGTCTATGCTTTGTTCGAGTGACCTACATATTTTGAACTAAACTGAATTATAACGGCAGAGATTTGTTGATGCAGGAAGCAGAATGCGTTGTAATGGACTTACAACGAGGAAATGATTTGTTATGTCAGGTGACATTGAAGACAATGTTTATGCTTTATTGCTTATTATATATTGATAAAGGGGTCCTGTGCTTTTTTCAAAAATAATGTCCTCAATTATCGATTCATTCTTCCTGTCCACTGATTTCAAACCAAGACTACAGCTGTACTTTGGCACATCGGTACTTAAGCTAAATGCCACACAATGAGCACATTATACAACATTTTTGGAGTTAAACAGGTTGAATGGCTTTAATGTTTACCATGTGCACCATGTTAATTTAGCCAGTTAGCATGCTGACAGTTGATCATTAGTAATATTTGCATGTAGTCTACAGCCGAGGCTGATGGGAATATAATTAGTTTTGCAGGAATATACTCATATATTAAATCAAAAGCTTGACCTGATGATGGCGCTAGATGCAAATCCAAGGGACCATAAAGTGATTACAATCCATGCTAAGGAGGACTTGAATGTGACCCACACACAGTTAAAATGTTTTTACTAAAATGTGACACTCTTAAGGGCATTACAGTTAAAGACACACAGTCAACAAGTTATTGTCTGGAGAGATTACAAGAGACCGATAATTAGTGTATTCATTATTTGTTGTGATATTCAATTCTGGACAAAAGACTACATTAAGTTGACAGTTGTTATGTGTTTAAGGAAGGGAAGGCTTTTTGTGAGACAGTTCATTTGCACCCAGAACATAACGTTCTTTGTTTGTAATTGTGCTCACCACTGACACAGTAATTTCCACTGTCTTATAAGTCCATAGTTGGGTTGGGTACTTGTGTGTGTATGACACATTAACTAACTTCTGTGACTGTTATTTTTGTGAGTGCCCCTGTGCTGCTGCTTGTTGTTGCTGTACAGTGTTGCTGTTGTCAGAGGGGCGGGCAGTAACAGCAGCAGCTGTGGATCAGATTTCAGCTGCTAAAACTGAAGCGGAGTGAACCATCCTGTTGCAGGGAGCAGCTTTAAGCTCATCACAACGACACAACCCAACCGTACACACATGCATACATGTTCGAATATGTTGCATACATAACTATAAGTAATATTGTGTTAAAATCTATCATATTATCATGTTATTATTTGGAAGTGGAACAATCTTCTAACCTTACACCCCTCCCTCTGTTAAACCTCTGAATGGACTCTCCCAGCTCTTTATTCAGGCTCTGAGGAGGAGGCAGAGCTTCAGTCAGTGCTTGTTGTCTGAACTGAGTACACTGCACTTGCTGGCCTTAAACAGAGAAAAAATAGCTTAAAATCAGATAGACAGCGCCTAAAACCCCTTTATCAGCTCATTATAGATCAATAATCAAAGCTGTAAGAAGCAAATTTGACTTTCAGATAATTGAAAAAAGGGAAATCAGATAAATAGAGGAGGGCGTGACAAGCAGACAGCCGAGCAGGCAAGCTGCTGCTGCAAGGAGAGGAAGAGCCGGCGATGCATCAGCCAAAGCCAGAGGTCAAGAAAAAAAGTGAAAGGATAGTGAAAAGGTAGACACTGAGAGAGGAGGGTCCTTTGTGATCTGAGCCAGAAAAACAGAAACCAGCCTCTCTTTGTTGTTGTGTGGGCCACCGAGCAGGGATGTGAAGGAGGGCAGCAGGGAGGAAGGGAGGCAACGGCAAGAAAGACTGCAAGAAAATGCTCTCAGAGATGATGTGCAGGAGGAGCTGCCAGCAGCAGCAGGATGGCAAAGAGGCTCTGCAGAGGGACCCTTCCAGCCGCAGGAAGCACGGCTGGTCCAAGGGCTGCAGGGGGCGCATGCAGGGGCGGAGAACTGGAGTGGGAGGGTGGCCAAGAGGGCGCAATCACCAGCAGCCCCCTCAACGACACCATCATCATCCCAGACACTTCCAGAGGCCAGCGATGTCACTCCGGCCCATTAACATTAAAGGGAACAGAGCGAGGGGGATGCGAGCCCCCAAGAACACAAACCAGTTTTTGATGCACGAGAAGTACCAGATGCTACACATGCGCTCCGACTCAGTGGGGAGTGACAGTGGGAGCAGCTCGGATAGCGAGATGGAGCTCACAGACATGGACTCATACCTGGGCGTCCTGGAAAATGCAAGAGGAGCCCTGTTGGACAGTCCCAACCCACACAGCTCAACAGCGCCCCCTGGACAGATTGTGGTTCTGCATGAGGACAGTCTGCCTCTGCAGGAGGACAGCATGCAGTATTTCCCCTCTGAAGACGACCTGAAGCAGAGCCAGAACTTCATGCAGAGGGACTTTGTTGAGTTCTGTGACATCCTGACACCCTGAAAGGAAACTCTCATGAGGCCATGTTGTTCTCGACAGTGTGAAACTCTAACCTCGGGGACAGGTTTGTTCTGCTTCATGTTCACTGAAAATCTAAAAAAAATCTCATCATCTTGTCAACTCATCAAGCCTTAAAATGCTAGGAATATGCTTGCAAGGTGAGATGATTCCATCAGTTTAAAGCAGATACTTCTTTTGAAGTGTCATTGTTTTAATGGTCATGCAGTGGTCTGACTTAGTTCATGTGAAGATGCTTAAAATAAGTGAAATTATCTCACCAAGTTGTATATGTTTAAGAAAAAAAGCTTAAATGAATGCAAGATTAAAGGAAAACATTTTGACGGATGATTCTTTTTTTACGGTTTACATTTGGTTCATGTTTGGTAATGTACAATGTGCTGTAATGTGCTGCCTTTCTGTTGTTATTGTTACACAAAGGGAGATGGGATCGGTGGTGGGAGTGAGCCTGAACAGCCAAAATCACAAATAAATATCTCATTGATGCAACTTGTGCTTCTTTATTGTGTTTGTTGATATTAATTAGTGTGATGGTGAGTTTTTTGTCAAATGTATCCGGGTCAGTGTGTCCCTTTTCTGAGCAAATAATGCATATTTAACCATGTAAAAGTAAATATGGATAAACACATGAATTCAATTAACAAGTCGGTCACATGACATTATGTTAGTGGAACAGCAACAATGGGGATGAGCAGTAAAGAAAGCAATCATGAAATATAACATTACATATACACATGCAGACACTTTTATGGGTTGCAATACTGTAACATGAATAGATACAGATGACTTCATTAAGTTTTTTCCACACACCAATAACTGATGTCTGTTGACATGCAGATGTATCATACTTTTAGATCTTATACATAGGCTTTTCTAATGCATCCTATGATCTCACAAGTAAAGTCATTTTAACTAACATATGATACGTATAATGTTCCTATTCAGACATTGTGGACAGGCTTTAAAGCAGGAAGTAGGGACCTGCATGGAGAGCAGCTGAAGAGGATTACATAAAGTGCAGTGAGCAGGGAGGTTTAAGCCGCTTTGGGTTGCTGTGTCATTATAATGTTAACAGGTCAAAGACTGAGAAACAGCAGGTAATCGATGTTTCCTACTTTAGTATGGTATCTGTTTTATCCTTCAAAGTGACAGAGCAGCAACTGCAAAAACCAAACATGCGAACAAGTTTTTCAGGCTGACTGTACTGTATGATAGAAATAAATATTGTTATTCCTTCAATTTATGCCCTTTTAGTCTGGTTACTGTGTATGACAAAAACGGTCAGCGGGATAAACTGCATGTTCTCTGCCTTTGACACATTTCCAGGATAAGCATATGTGAGGGGGAAATGCATACCGACTAATACATATTTTTTTGTGTGTGTTTGGCTTTTTTGCCCTCTCTGAACTAGTACAAATAAAAATAAATTGGTTTGATGATTTAAAACCAACATCGGATCTCTATTTTGACTAGATTTAGCAACAGGATGATTTAGACGCCCTATGTCTAAATCATCCTGTTATGCTATCACATAAAAACGTTTAAAGAAGGTGAAGTCCCATATTCCATTTAACAAATTGTTAACAAAAAACGGTATATAATCAATACTAGACAACTTAATCACTAATTCCTTCTCTGCTTTCACTGCCAACTGTAAGTCTGCTCTTCGGGCATCATACGTCACATTGCATAACAATATTTTTATTCCAAAAACATAATATGTAAAAGCAGCGGGGGGGGGGGGGGGTTAATGGCCAGGTCCAGCACTCTTTCTTCAGCACGTCCTGTCCACACTGTAAAATGTTTGGCTGTAAAATTACAGTAAATGACTGGCTACTAGTTCCATGGATTTCACAGTAATATGCTGTAAATATTTCACAGTAATTGACTGTAAATATTTCACAGTAATTTACTATATATATTTTACAGTAAATTAGAATAAAAGTGCAACTACATACTGTGACTTTACAGTTGCCATGCCCATGGAATTACTGTGATATAGCAGTACAGAGCTGTGGTATTATGGTACCTTGCTGTACATAAGTTACAGTAATTACCTGTATGTTCATACTATTACTGTGGAAGTAATGCAACACAGTAGCCAGTAATTTACTGCAAACATACAAATCTAAATAATACGATAATACATTGTAAATTTTACTGGGATTTTACCATAACTACACAATTCAATCAGCTCAATAAACAAAGAAAAAGCCCATTTTAACTTTTTATTACTCCATTGAAGTGCAAAGTGCATTTCACAGTGTCTTGGAAATGTTGTTATGGCCCCAACCTCTATTCCGCGGTAGTGGCTCGGGCTGAGACCTGCAACATGAAAGAATACACGCAATAACCGGTACTTGGTAACGAGCATTTATTAATAATCAGCCGTTTGCTCACACAAGCGAAACGGGAAACAAAAAGAGGTCTGGAGGACTGGCCAAAAGGAACAAACAGAAGGAGGGAACCCGAGCAAGCCACACCACGGACCGTAGGACCCAGAGCTCCCCCCTAACCAGAAATCAATTAAAAGCAAGAAAATCACTTTTTTTTGTTGTGTTATCACAGAGGATGGTCTGAATACAGTATTTTACTGTGAAATAATACAGTAACATGTTGTGAAATCCTGGTAATCATTGATCCTGTACATTCACAGTAATTAACTGTGCCTGGATTGATTTAACTGTGAAATTCAAAATTACATGTTATATTGTGAACATTACAGGTAAAGACTGTAAAGTGGTAAAACAGTAATTTATTTTAAAATATTACAGCTAAATATTGTGAAATCATGGTAATATTTTACAGTGCAGGCAGAGATGAGATCAGGTCTGGAAATACAAGCCGAGTGTTCCCGGGGCAGATATGGAGCATCGGCCCCCTCTACACCCATGTTTGTCCGAATATCTGTGGAATGTGTATGTATTACCGTAGTTAGAAATACAAGTCCTGTAAGCACAATAATATGTAAAAAATAAAGGCGTTACAATTATTTTTTGACCTGGGAACAGCAGGCTAATTTGCAGAGTGGCCGACAGAAGCCAACTCATTACAATGGCCCAAAACGTTTCCATTAGGAGAAACGCACTGCCAGAGTAAGCCTGTTTCATAATTGTGTTAAAAGGGTTTTGTCAGTATATTTGAAATGACTATAGTTATCTACGTTAGCTTGCTAGCTTACAGCAGATCTGGAATAATATTAGCAAACCATGCAAATGTTTCGTCAAGTGGGTAAACGTTTTATTGATGCTACGAATGTGTTGTCAAGTTGTGATTTTGGCACATTTATGTTTTTATATTGGCATGTTTTTGAGAGTGCAGCGCATTTCTCCCAATGACAGTGTTTTGGGTCTTTGTAGCTCATTTGCACCTCTCGGCCACCATACACCGGATCCCTAGATTCTCTCCCACACATGTGCTCTATCAGTAAAGCATGTAAATAAATAAAAATAAAGCATATTAGATATAGTAATATAAATACTGAGATAAAGTTGAAACGTTTTTTCCTAAAAGAAATTAGGGAGAAAAAAGACATCAATGTGCTTTTATCATATTTTTCCCTGCTCATTTAGAAAAACAAATATCTAAATATAGCCAACAAGCGTAGCAACCTCTCCTTACATACTTACGTCATCCTGTACTAAAAAGAAGAGGCTCTTTGCATGCCCTTTTGTTGTCTGATTATTATTGGCGACTAGGCTCAGTCCTTCCATACAGATAATACCTAATAAATCTTCTAAAATATAGAGTTTTGGAATTAATACAAAACGATTCACATGGGCCTTCATTTACCGTGAGCCTCCATTGTATATCAGATCCTACATTTAATTCAGAATGTTTTAAACAAATGATCTGTTTAAAGATTAGAAAACGTTAAACACTATTGCCATTGCACATAGCACAACGAAATGCAGTTTGCATCAAACCAGAAGTGCTAAGAGTAGTCAACGTTAAAGCATTCACGGATAAGGAGCAGGGTTTAAGGCATATATACGTTTAAAGCAGATTAAGTAAATGTTGAATAAAGTGTGAGGAGCTGTGGGTTGAAGAACCATGAGTATGAAAGGGAGGTGTGGTGTTGCTAGTTCTGTAGTTTGAAGGTTATGTCTTGGGAGTGGAGTAGAGCTGAGTTTGTGAGAGTTCAGCAAGGTTATGGTGTTGTGGAAGAAACTGTTCCTGAGCCTGCTGGTGCGGGATCAAAGGCTCCTGTACTGACTTCCTAATGAGAGGAGGGTAAACATTCCATGGTTGGGGTGTGAGGGTTCCTTGATGATGACATGAGCCCGTTGAGACACGCAGAGGTCAGCAATGGCAGGGTGCAGGGCTCTGAAGATGTGCTGGGCATTTTTCACTACCCGTTGCAGGGCTTTCCTGTCAGCTAAAATGGTTTTCGGACAATATTCAAAAGTTCATACAGATTTGATAATGTTCACATGATCAAAACCACAGTTAGTGAGAGGTTCAGTAACCCTCTTTGTTTGGTGAGTTAATGCACCCTTGGATGATTTAATCCACTCACATAACAGTAGCTCATACAATCTTGTGCTAATAAAATCTTGTGGAACAAAATGAAGACAGAGTGAACATTTGTGTTAAGAAGGGACGTGATGCCAATAGACAGCCTCCTCAGACTGCCCTTTGACCTGCAGATCAGACGAGTTCTGTTGTTATCTAATAAAACAGAGCGTTCAGTGCCTTCCTCAAGGACACTTCTGTTTGGGCTCTCCTGTCTCTATTGTATCTACTGCAGCTCCTGTTTCAAGTTTCACAGCTGTTGACATCAGCTACTACTTTTAAGTCTGAGTTGTTGTTTCGCAATGCTGCTGCCATTGGGGGAGTGAGCTGGCATACACGGGCACACACACACACGAGTACATACACCCAAGGGCACAAACACAAACACACACACACACACACACACACACACACACACACACACACACACACACACACACACACACACACACACACACACACACACACAGCAAAGGGGTGTGGTGTGTTCCTTCGCTAATGCTAACCTAGTCTAGTCAGACTCAAATAAACATGTATCTTTACTTGTGAGATCCCTCTCTGACATTTCCTATAACCCAAACCTTTAGAACTCTGTAAAGCACTTTGGGCTACGTCAAGCATGAAAGGTGCTATATAAATAAAGTTTATTATTATTATTATTATTATTATTATTATTATTACATAAACCTAATTCTTACCTTTAATTGAGTTTTAACAAGTTTTAAGTAATATAAACAAGATTTCAAAACCAATCTTAAACATTAGTTCATTTGATTAACTTTACTTGTACTTTGTAAACAAATTCCTCAAAAAGACATAAAAGGGCACACACACGAGAAGTGTGAATTTTTGGTTGAAGGGGCAGACGCCAAACAAGAAGTACAGAAGGTTACAGAATGAATGACGGTTAGAAATATCGCAGACACACCTACACAAACACACACAGTTGAGGTGGATGAAGCTTAACTCTAATC